GCACTCACACAGCGCACTCACACAGCGCACTCACACAGCGCACTCACACAGCGCACTCACACAGCGCACTCACCACTCTGGATGATAGCCTGGGAACGGGAAAACCTTCCATGAATGGCTGTCATGTGCAGGGGGGTCTTCCCATCTTTGCTCTGTGGGGGAAGAAAGGGCCTGATTTGTCAACACAAAGAGGGCACCATTCCAATACCCACTATCAGTATAGTACCGATATTGGACAAAGATTCTGGACAGTTATAAGGGGGGCGGGGGAGTTAGAAACTGATCCAATTTTCCATCAGATAACAGTAGTGAAAATTCTTGTTGCCTTAGTGCAACATACCGTAACATAACTGAGGGTCACGTCATGGCTAGTTGTTCAGCAGTGCATAGATGGCAGAGTTATTATGTGGGCTGTGTGGAAATAAGGTCACCCATTCACATAGGGTTTAGAACATAAGAAATTTACAAACGAGAGGAGGCCATTCGGCCCATCAAGCTCGTTTGGGGAGAACTTAACTAATAGCTCAGAGTTGTTAAAATCTTATCTTGCTCTGATTTAAAGGAACCCAGGGTATTAGCTTCCACTACACTAGCAGGAAGATCCCCATGGAAGCTAGAATTTGGTGAGTAACAGGCACCTCTAACCTCAACCTTACACAGTGGTGCCTGCGGTCTACGAACAATTTGGTTCACAACCAAAAATTTCGTGAAAAAAAAAAAAAATCATTGGTTCGTGTACAAAATTTGGTTGGCAAACAGATTCCTCGACCAAATTCCTTTTTTTTATACTAGTGCAGCACCGGCGGGGCTCATGTCCCAGCATGCCCTGCGTGCGATTGTAAGTAGAAGGACCACAACAGGCAGCCAATGAGCAATTACTACTATAAGCACTGGTAGCACTACGGTTTTTACTCTTTACTAAAAATGCTAAATTAACAGCAGTGAAATGCCACAGTCACAATGATGGGTAAGACGTTAGCCAGGCGGGTCGCTGAGTGTGGTGAACCCAAGCCAAGACATTTCATATTGAAACTGAAGGTAGGATTCAGTCGAGGCTGCGGGAGGTAAACAGTGTTACAGCTGCAGTTTGGTGAAAGAACCAGCAGGGGGCACTGTCCCCACCTTGATGTTGACGTCAGCCCCGCTGGCGACCAGCAGCTCCAGGCAGAGCGCCCCGTGGCGCGACGCGGCCGTGAAGTGAAGAGGCCCCAAGCCCTCGCCGTTGGTGCAGTTGACGTTGGCGCCGCACTCGATCAGCTCGTTCACCACCACGTCCTGCCCGTTGTAGCAGCCCACATGGAGCGCCGTGTTGCCGAAGGCATTGGGCTCGTTAATCTGGGGGGGGGGGGATTTATTGCGCACTAATCAATTGGTGACATGGAACGGCGCATGTAAACCCCACCCCTGCGCTCTCCCATCAGCGGTGAACGGGAGACCCGGACTCACGTCGACTCCCAGACCCAGCAGGTACTTCACCACGCTGATCATGCCGCTGGAGGCCGCCGCGTGCAGGGGGGTGTAGGACATCTTGTCTTTGCAGGTCACCTCTGCGCCGTGGGAAACCAAAAGCTTCACCACCTCCACATGCCCTGAAAGGCATCCAGCACCCATCAGCAGATACCTCATAGTAACTGAGGGGGGTTTGAAGACACGGCTCTCTCAGGATGGAGATGTCATCTAAGTGGCCCCTTTTGCGCCCTCTGGTGGTGATGAGGCACCTCCCCCCCCCCCACACACACCCATATATGCTGCCCAGTGGATCGCTCTCCGGTCCTTCTTATCAAAGGCGTTGATATTGGCACCCCTGGACAGCAGCAGCTTCACCATCTAGGGGAGGAGACCAGCTGGTCACATGACACCAGCCTTTACCACGTGTTAAATTCAAACCCTTATCTGCAGACTCATCATTCTTAATTTAAAAAGTGACAGCTAGCCTGAATACTGAAGAGGCAGTGCTCAGACAGGTAACGTACACTGCATCGCCGAACGCCATCAAAAGATAAACGCGTCTAACGCCATGCGATATTGTATGAAGCTACTCTCCCCTGCAAAATGAACGGACAGCTTGCATTCATAAATAGGGTACATTTTTGAGTTCTAGCTCATCAAACAAATGATAATAAATTGAATTACAGCTGTCTGGTTTCCTTGGGGATAAACACAAGCCTGCTGACAATATGCAACAGCATCACGCAAAAACAACATGCCAATTTAAACGGGCCCAGCTGGGTGGGCCGGGCACCGACCTCCTGGTGCCCGCTGACGGCAGCATGGTGCAGGGGCGTGCGGCCGGCTCGGTCCGACACGTTGGCATTGCCCAGCAGCGGCACCAGAGACTCGGTGCAGCGCATGGCCTTGTTGGCGGCTGCCACGTGCAGTGGCGTCTGCCAGTTCTTGTCGCGCGCGTTGACGTCGGCCGAGTGCTTCAGCAGGACCTGGACGGCCTCCTGTGCAGGACGGGGAGGGGTGGAGCTCATCACGAGGGACTGTGCGCGTGTGGCTGTAAGCGTGCATAGCAAGACTGTACCCACATACCTCGCTGCAGGATGCCACAGCTCGGTGCAGAGGGGTCAGCCATCTGTTATCCTTGGCGTTCACTCTTGCTCCTAAATTTGGACAATTCAACTTTTTAAGCAATATTTCTGGGGACAAATCCATACAAGATAAACATTCATTTGCCATTTGCACAAGTACAGGTACAGAGGAATGCTTCTCTTCACATATCCCATCATGCTCTCCTTCGAGACAAATATACACACACAGGGTCTGACATTTATTTGCCCCCCCCCCGGAGCATGCTGAGGAGATAAGGGCCTCGGTCAAGGGCCCAAAGGAGATTTGACTATTCTCTTTGTATTTTCGGCAAACGTCAAAGGTTGCATATTAATCTTTACGTTCACTCCAGCAATGCCACAATGGCCCCACTAAACACCCAGATGGTGTCGGAGAGCCGGGAGATGCAGACGATCACCTGATAGAATGAGCAGCTCCACGATCTCGGCGTCGCCCAGGTAGGCGGCGGCGTGTAGGGGGGTCCGCTTTTCGCTGTCCTGCGTCGAGCATTAAGGCAGAGTCAGGATTGGGATTTAAGCAGATGGAACGTCTTGCTCCAGCACATGCTGAGCGGACACCGCTGAGGTCACCGGGATGACACACCTGCACATTGATGTCTTCCTTCTTGTATACGAGGGCGCGGACTTCGTCCGGGTCCACATTAAATATGGCCTTAAGCAGGGCAGGCTGGAGGAGGGATGGGAACAGGCCGTATGGTTACCGAAGAGCGGGACTGCGAGGTTAGTTAGCAGTACAGCGAGTACAGCGAGTACAGCGAGTACAGCGAGTACAGCGAGTACAGCGAGTACAGTGGCTAGGTTCTGCCAGTAGGCCGGGCAGAGGTGTTTACAAACCCCACCCGCTAGGTGGAGGAGCTGCTGAAGGGGGAACGCCAAGAGTCTGAGGATTCGCCTGGGGGGGATTTTCCCGGGTTTGTAAACAGCAGGCCGAAAAGAGGGAGAAGGCCCAGGGCACACACGTCAGCAGGGGGGGGCGCTGGGCTTCAGCCCTCCTGGCGTGGGCCGTGTGTTTTCGCAGGCAGGGAATTACAATGGAAAGTTCCAGAAAGGCAGGCGAAACTAAGACATTTATCACCAACTGAAACCAAACAAACAAAAGCAGAAAACACCAAATACACAATTCAATCCCAGTCACTACAGCGCAAGGGTAACGGTCATAACGTTAACGCGCATTACTATACATTTATCTCATACTTTTACAAATAAAAAGTGGTTGGATAATTACTGCAGCGTGTGGCTAGGATGGTACTTTATAACTATTTACTCACAGAAATAAAACAAACACTAAGCGAAACAAAGCACCTGCCGCGGAAGGGCAGGCAAACAGACAAAAGTGAAAACAAAACAAACAGGCCAGAGGACGCATCTCAACCCCCATCTCTGCTCACCTGACAAGCCGGCTCATTGGCTGGTTCACGCCAGCGGCTTTACTGGAAACAAAGCAGGACGGCTTCCTTTATTTACATCACCACCCTGGCCCTGATCAGTAAAGCCCGATTTTCCCAACTTCCTAGCTGGACTGTTGAAATTCCCAGTAGCCTGTGGCATGAACTGTACACGACAGAGAAGCCCCTGCTTCACTAGAGATTAACACGTGTCAGTTTAATAATGACGAGCGACACAGAGCGACACGAGTGGTGGAATAACCCTCAACACACACCTCTGGCATCAGTTCATTCGATTTTACAGAACAAAACGAGCACAAGCCACACATCAGAAGGTGAGCAGTGGCTTCACGCCGACAGGTAAAGACTCCTGAAGGTTCACGGGACAGACGCTTTGAGGTCGTAACTAATGCTGAAAAGAAAGCAAGAGCAGCTGATCCATCTTACCCTCGATTTCAATGAGTCACGGTCAGCCGCACCCCTGGAGAAATGGTCCCGAGGAGGACGGGAACGCCTCACGGGCTGGTCCACCGCCTCCTCCAGGACGACCACGCACACGCGGCTCATGCGCTCCACTAAACCGCCACCGAGCCCTTCGCTACTCGGTACGAAAAAATCCTTCTCTATTGGAGTACAGCGGCAGCATTCCAAGCCGAACAGCAAGCTTGTTCGAGTGTCGGCGTCATACTCCGACCCGTATTCCGTAAAGCGGACAGAATGCGAAGCCTAGGAGACCCCGAGCGGACATTAGACTGACAAAAGCAACCCGTGCTGCATCCATGAAACTCGTATCAGCACGCCAGAGGAATCATCTGCATCCAGTCTCTCCGTGGCCAACAAGCGTCCCTTTGTGTAGGTCTGTTTGCAAATGAGCACGGGGCCGGGGGGGGGGGAACGCAGGGCTCATCCAACTACCCTGCGGTCGGAGGGCAGCAAGAACAGACGAAGGCCGTGAGTAACCCCTGCCTGGAAGCGAGAAGCCGATAAACACGGAGACCCCGTTCTCTATGAGAATAGACAAAAAGCAAGGCATGCTGTCAAATCTCACACACACAAGCCCGTCATCTTCCATAACCCAAAGCCAATGAACGGTCACAGCTGGCGAGATGCCTGTCCAAAGGACGAGATTATATAACAGGACATCGGGCTCAGGGCAGAACTGCGCTGAAAAACTCCGCTAAGCCCAAAAGGGGACTGCTGAGGGGGGACTGCTGAGGGGGGAGCCCCGATCCTGCACCGGGACGCAGAAGCTGTGACGGGGACTAATCACCATTATCAGATTCTGTTCATCTACTGAAAGAGACACTATGTGAAGAAGCAACCAGTGAGTTTTTAAAATAGCTATTTAATAACTAATAGCCACACTGGGGTTCAGGCAGTAATAGCCACACTGGGGTTCAGGCAGTAATAGCCACACTGGGGTTCAGGCAGTAATAGCCACACTGGGGTTCAGGCAGTAATAGCCACACTGGAATATTTGTGCATTAATAAGGCATTAGAAAACCAATTCATGATTTGTACCATAAGTAGTATCCACTATCAGTGGTCGCACACAGAAAACCCCAGAAAGCGAGACAATGAAGTTTTTACTCTCGGCCTCACAAAGTGGCGATGGCACCTACGCGTCCAGCCCAGGAGAAGATCAGCAGCCTCGGGGCAGGGGGACAAGTCATCCAGTCATCTACAACAAACTCCCAGTGAGACAGCGTGCCACCGGGAATGGCATCAGCTGATCGCGAAAGCCTCAGACAGTCAGCCGTGGAACAAAGACGCCCATTTGTTGCCCGGGGAAGAGACTCGTCTGTAATTTGCGCATTTATCGCTGCCCTGAGGAATTACATCCAATCAGATTCCTGGACGGGGGTCATGGAATAGTCGGTTCCGGATTTCCACAAATATAAAGCACTTTAGGCCGAGATACTGAAAAAGCACCGGATTTTGATGGACTAAGAGTAAAGAGGAGAAACTGTGTCAGAGGAGCGGTAATTCTAATTACGGACACAGAGCTCTTTCCTACAATTGTCACGTTGCTACAATGAGTCACCTTCCGGCCACGCTGAGCCTAGCAGTTCGCTGGCTGGTTTTATTTATTTATTTAAATTCTACTACAGCTTTAACAAGAAATGCTTCAACAGAGGATGCCTTTCTCTATTTGGTGGTCTTTTGTTTCTTATTATTTGCTATTTAAAAGTAATTGGTGTGAAACTCATTGAGGACATTCTAAATTCCTAAAGGAAGCCTTTTGTAAAGCCTGCAAAGGCATCTGACAGGTTTCCTGTGTCCTTGTGTGGATGTTTAAGCTCTGCGATGCCCAGAAAGCCTGCTTTTAGGGGAAATGTTACTTAATATTTCATTTTACAACATGCAGCACTTCTGGCACAGCACAGCACCACAGACACACATCTCACTAGAGAAAATATTTTACCTTTTCCCCCTGGCCATACAGATTGTTGCAATTACCGATACATCCATTTTTAGAACTATCCAGTTGACATCCTAATATTTTTATGTTTGCTTTTTTTGGTAAAACTTGGAATAAACCTCATCGTCAACTCCCAAAACACTTTTGAAAGTATACTTACGTCCCAAAACTTGCACGTGAAAAACCACTAAAGAAAATTCCTTTGTATGTTTAGTATGTACTTTGGAATTATGGTATATTATGGTATTATGTCAGTCACCTCGGGGTACATGTTGCTGCACACGCCTATATGACTGTAGCACGCTTGAATAAAACCGAGCTCTATATTTTCTTCCTTTTTTAAGCTGGTAATGGGGATGGGGGGGTATTCTCCCCCAGGCACTGTGATTAATTCGGCGTTTCATCAGGTAACCCGTTATGACTTATGGCTGCAGCGCAGGTACCGCTCACCCTGTGCATGGCATCGCTCGCTTCACAGGCTTTAATGTAGGCTATAAGCGTCGGTAAGATATTGTGCTCCGCAAAACACTTACATGCAAACCAAATATACCTTACCATTATTACTACTAGCACCTCACACGCTTTACTTGAGTAGGCGACTGACACAGTCCTACCCGCCTAAGTTCCGCACACGGCCATCGGCCCGGAGACAGTCGGCAGGCCCGAGGTGACAGCTGCCGACCGCCCGGTTCGCTTCGCTTCGCTTCGGTTCGGCTCGGACGCACGTGCGCCGCCGGCTCCCCGCGTGGCGCGCCGCGCCGCGTACCTGCTCGCGGATCCTGAGGATCGCCATATCTGCACAGCGTCGTCGGGGATCCCGTATAGCATGAAAACTCATTGAAATCCAAGCTGCTTGTGGAGGAGCTCAGAGGCACAGGCGTGCTTCAGATCGCTATTCGTTTCCCTCCGTACTCTGCATTGGGCCCAGTCCCTGTGCTTTCCTTATTCTGTGTACCACGGCTGGGTATACACAAGAGCGCATACACACGTACAAAAAAGCTCCATAACATTACCGCCACCGTCATCGAGCTAAAGTTGCACTGATTGGCTGCAAAAGGGGGCCGGACCAGCAGCAAGAAGGGCTACGGTAGGCCCGCTATTGCTGAGACTGAGAGAAAGCTTTAACCCCTGTTGTGATGGCCACAGCCTTACTTAAAGGAACGCTGGTGATTGGGTTTTTAAAAGGACCAAACATTTGTACGCGTTATTTCAGTTACACCTTATAGCTGTGCAGACCACCCCCCCACACACACACACACACACATTAATATAAGCACGAGACAACAGTTAATTACATTCTTTGAGTAATATGGTAGTGTTTTTATTTTGAACTGTTTGCAGACCACGAGCATTTTTGGGGAATTGCTATAGAAACATGGTGAAGATTAATTACCCATTGACACATTTTTAGTTTTTCATTTTCAAGTATTTATATAAAAATATATGACATAAAATATGACAAAACCTGGTTTCCAGCAAGCTTATTCAAAGTTTTGGCTGGATCTGTATTTTTCAGAAGAGTTTTGAGGCAGGCTGACTCAATATATATCTTCCAGATTTAGGACCATTCAGTTTATTGCTAAATCAGTTTCGGTTTTTACACACAGTAAGACCGATTACAATACTTTCGGCTGCCGAAATGCAAAGACATGTGAAGTACACGGTCGGAGAAGTGGATTTTTATTTTTATTCCTAAAATACTCAATTCACTTTCTTTATTTTCATATATCACACCAGATAGTAACTAATTCGTTTCATTGGTGATTTTAATTAGTGGACTTAAAAGCATGTAAGACGCAGAGAATCATTTTTATTCTGTTTTTGGACTTACGTTGTATTTGGACCTAATAGACATTAAGACGAAGTAATGGACTGTTACCTTTTTGAAGCATTGTCTCCATCTAATGGCCACATAGAAGATAACAATGTACTGTTTATGCTCTTTGATAAGTGATAGGACTATTAACAAAAAAACTTGTCGTTTAGATAAAAACATTACAAACAGCTGTTCAACACAGCGAATATGACCGTCAGTGTGATAATCTGAGGTGGTCTAACGAGTCGGACATCTTGACGGTATTTCCAAAAACCTCATTTATTGAGTCAGCTCAATTATTATTGGTTTTTCTCGACAGAGAATTGTCCGTTTTCATTTTTTTTCTTTGTTGGTTGAGAAGTTATATTACCACCACATTCAGTTATTAAGTTATCTAACCATTTCTATATTGTTGAGAACGAAGTCATTTAATCATTAATGCCACTTCGCGCATTTTCACTATAGGCCTACTTATATATGTTAAATATATTGTATCATCCCTTAGATTACATTCATTGTGCCATAACTTTCCAAAACTTGGGACAAAGAAAATACTGCATTAATCAACACTGCCAGTGGACTCTTTCCAACATCAGCCGTGCAGTGTCAGATTATCTGCGGCATGTTAATTTAACAGAGGAACTACTGGTTACGAGTACCTCAGAATCCGACTCAAAAAGGAAACATTTAGGCTTTATTTTAAGTAGGAGTAATTAGTTATTTTTGAACATCATGGCTGTTTACTTTGTAACCATGTGAGTAATACAGGTTTACAATCAATGATAAGACCACAGCTGAGGCATTATGTACATCAAAGAAATTGGAATAGTTTTTGTCACACATACTATGAATTCGATCCAAACATATACTGAAAGCAAATGAGCATGCATGCATCTAATTACAAATTCTTGTTTATGTTCTATGATTTTTAATATCACCAAAACTTAAATTTACAAATGTTAGAGGGGAAAAGGATTTTGGATGATATACAGCATTGAGTAGCTAATTGTCAGGTCCTGCCTGCTATGTCCACCTGACCCTCCTGCCTCCTCCCCATCGTGACCCTAACAAGCCACGCCTGTTACTTGTTTGTCTTACCTCTCATCCCTAACCCTCATGTTAATCACTCCCAGCTGCCTCTCATTAGCTCCCTCGTTAGTCTCATATATATGTGCTTCCCAGCCTTGCGTTTCCTAGTCTGGTTATTGACATCTATCCTTCTTGTTACCTGTGCCCTCCTTTGTTCCAGGCCCTCCTTTCTGATCCCTTGTGATCTTGTTTATTTCCAGCCTCTGTTCAATAAAACTCCTTTTTGTCTCACTATCACGCCTGTCCCCGAGTCCTTCATCCCATCTGTCGTGACACTAATAAGGCAAATAATATATATTGCTTCTCACAGGAGAGCAAGAAGTTGGGATATATGAAAAGAAGCATTCCAATGGACCTGTACTAATACGAATGGCAAATAAAGCACCATTTCATGTAAATGGAAATGATGTAAACATCACTACATAACACTGTTCACTTGAGAATTAATTTTGTTCTTGAATTTGGTTGGACAATGAAACAATAATAATCAATATAGGCCAATAATATCTTTCACTTATTGTACTAGGGCGATGGTGGTGCTACCGTTCGGCAACCGGAGGGTTGCAGGTTCGAGCCCCAGGTCCTCCTGACCCCATCAAAGTGTCCTTGAGCAAGACACTGAACCCCAAATTGCTCCAGGTGAGCTGGTTGGCACCTTGCATGGCAGCCTCCGCCACCGGTGTGTGAATGTGAGGCATACATTGTAAAGCGCTACATAAATGCAGTCCATTTACTTATAAATTACTGTATGTATGTTTCAAGAATTCATGGAAGGTGGGCTTTAAAAAAGTTTCTAATCTTAATCTGTTTTAGCATCAGGTTAGATGGAGACTAACAACTACAGTACATCTTTACTGCATTTAATTTTTATGCTTTTAGTACTATAGTGATGTCACTTTTCTTGGCAGAATTCCGTTTGCTGTAAGGTATACTTGTAAATGACGACGTCCTTCTTGTTTGCTAAAGGGAGGCCAAATTTCCAGGTACTTTAGTTGCGAAAGGTTGTTCATCCTGTTTAGAATTTAAACAAGCTTTGAATGCCCTGCTTGTACGTTTCTAACATATTTTTGTAAGTACAGCATGTCCATTTGGATAGAATACTTATTCCGATGAGATTGTAGGCATTGTTGAAAAGTGTTTCTGTAAAATCTAGTTATGACATGCACTAATTTGAATACTATATGCAGAATGTTTTTTTTATGTCATTTGCATCGCCTAGTACACGATGTCAGGCTTGTCTCAAATATGAAAGCCGAAGGAACAAGACGTTCTTTTATTTCTTTAAGCCCACAAGAGTGTTCCTCGGGTTACAATGAGTTACTCAAAAGGAAATGTAACTTTTTTTTAATTGTATGGGAATGAACATACAGGGCTCTAAAGTCGCTGAATACCCAACTAATGAGTTGTTGGGTACGTTCAGTGGGGGAGTGGCCTCCCTTTCTGGGCTGTGAGTGTGATTGCTGCCGATTTCTGTGTGAGGTGTTTACATGTTCTGCCGAAGTTCCGATTAAGGACGTACAGAGAGTCCAGTATTTGTATCTGTATCTGTTGAAACAGGAAAATTATTTGCATTTGTATTCAAATAAAAGTGGAAATAGATTTAACAATCCAGTTTTCATTTTTATTACGCTTATTAGGATATTAAAGTTTTAATGTAAGTGCTCTTTAAAACCTATTGCTGGTTTTATGAGAACCATACACCAATATTACATTTAAGCATTTATAATTATTATAATAAACAAGTAGGCCTATAACCATAAACATCACTGAAAAGAAAATCATGTTAAACATAACATTCAGTTCCTAATCCACACTCAAACCAAAAAACTAAACTTTAAACTAATAAATGCCTATTTGAACATTGTGAACCCCCCCGACCGCCCTGATAGGAGGACGCTGAGCAGACAGCTTTACAAATAAAAACTGTTCTGAAGTACCGTATGCCAAGAACTAAACCTTAGTTTAACTAAACTTAATTAACCTCGGTCAGAGATATGGAGCAGAGGTCCGGCTCCATCAATTTAGGCTACACATGGGCCATATCTAAGCTATTTTATCAACTGTGCATAGGCTTATTTATTTTGATGTATTATGCCTTTTAATACACCTCAGTGGAATTACCCGCTTCTTAGTAATGCATAGGTAGCCAAAGCGAAACATGAGCTACGGTGACAAGTCCCCTTTTCCCCGGACTTGACCTAAAAATCCCTGAAATGTTTGGGATTTCACGTTGTTTCATGTTGACATTTGCTTTCTACAGTTAGAATACTTTCTATGTGCATATTTGCGCTGCTTCGAAGCCTCTTTGCTCATTTTTGTAAAGCAGAATATGGTCCCTCCAGCATGAGTGGGTCTATTTCGATGCCAAAACTTGTCACAGAATGACACCTATGACGCCAGAAAATTTCGTGCAAAACACCTTAGCATTTTATGACTTTTTTGACGGTAGGAGAATTTAGATGAAAAAGGAACGAGCGACAGCGCTGAGTTCGCGTCGCGATGGAAGTGAGGCGCCGCTCGGTGCAGCGCCGGCCGGGCCAGTGCCGGGTGCACGGGGGTCTGGTCGGGGAAGGAGGCTGGCTGGCTGGGGACACTGCTCTCCGACGGATCGCTGACAACCTAATTTGTCCCGAAATATATTTATGGAGCGGTGCCGAGACAGCGTCTTTTTTTCGAGCTCATTAAGCTTCTGTAGGCGTCGCCCTGCGGCTGGTTTCCTGGCTGCACCGCGTCGTTGGTTATATATCTGATTTGTAGTTGTGCGGCTGGGTATCATACCGTAAAGCCAGCTTGACACGAGATACCTGTATGATTCTTGGCTAATCACCGAAATCGCTTGAGTGGCCCGATTCAAGCAGGAAAACACGATTAATGCGTCGTCTTTCGTGCTGGGCGACGCTTGATCACTGGAGTTTTTTGCATTTCCATTGTTATTTGTATATGTTTGCCAAGAATATAAGGCGAAGTCACGTTTAAGGGGAAACAAACTTTTTGTAGAGCTGAAGATGAGCAACAATGGTTTATATGCAAAGCCAAAGAGGAGAAAGCCGTTGCAGAAAAGGTATGTGAGACGGGGACATTTTATCCACGATTAGACCTCACCTGATCAGTCCCTCGAAATATTAATCTTGCTCTAATTGCAAAAAAACACTTGTTCTTATTTACTTCTTTTGCGTAAAAGTTAATGCTCACTATGCAGTGCCCTCAGTTTCTATCTTCTTGCCCGTAAAATCGTTTATTTGGTAGCTTTCTACCTGTAATACTATAGCATAGAATGTTTGCTTAATCAGTCTATTTGACTTCATTTTTGGTTGGAAAGTTAAGATGAAATTATAGGTGTGCAGATGAATTTATGAGCATTTAAATTTTGTCTTTACTGCAGCACGATATTTACGTGGTTAGACTTGTTTTCCGGGGATTTTTTTTTAGGAATGCATAACACTTCTCTTAGCACCACGTTGGGCTGTATAGTGTTTTGCTGCATTAAGAAGATAAGCAGTAGTGCGGAATGAAATGTTCAAGTTCAACGTCACTTTTTCAGACATCTATTCTCCGTCCCAGTTCCAGCTTGGAAACTTAATGACCATGTGGTTCACTTAAGGTTACCAAACGTTTTTCTTATTTCAATTATTATATCAAAACATGATGTTTCTTATTTGTTCACTACAAGTCAGTGTTTTTCTTGTTTGGTTATGGCCACTTTCATACCAAAACCACACTTGACATGTGAGGCACCCCTGGGAAAAGATAATAGGAATAATATAAAAGCTTTATATGAACTTTATATTATACCATACATGATAACATATAGCTTTAGCGGGAAATGCATGTTTATTGCTTGTTGTTTCTTAATAAAAAAAAAATATTGCTTTTATATTATTCTAATGAAAGGCACGTATGATCCCTCCACACCCAGTTGGTTTAATTATACGTTTGAAAATTAATGTTTTGTTATCAGAACACAAAATGCATGAACCGAAACAGAATGTTTCCTGTTCGAAATGCTCATTCTAGTTGTGTGGAACCGATGTGCATGATCGAGTTCATTGAAAGAAACATGCATAAAAACGAAAACATCATTTTAATATGTATTTTACATGAATAAATGACACATTTGAGTACACAGTTTGTCTGCCAATTGTACACTTAGCTGTAGGTCATTGCACCTTTTAAGATACAGAAATGGACTATGAGGATTATTTTGTACCATTGGGCTACATTAATGCTGTTTGTACATTGGGCAGTCCATTTCTGTACCTTAAAAAGTACAAACATGTACAGTAAGGTACAGCCCCAGTGACAAGTAAAGGTGCAAACTGGTACCCTTTTTCTGAGACTGTAATGACACACACACACACACACACACACACATTTAGTATGGATTGTACAAGAATGTAGGACTTATATGTTTGACGGTACATTCATTTCATATGTATTTCAATCAATAAAGGAGACATATTTCTAAAGACACTAAGTTAATATGGATTGTATATTTATTTTCAGTGTCATATAAAGAGCTTATATGATTTTCATACTTTTTCATCTTTTAGTTATTTACTTAGTTTGTTTAAACAGTGTTTTCTCAAACATGTGGGTTGAAAGAGTTTCACATAATTTACTCAGAGATCAATTTGAATCTGAATCTGATAAATGTCACCTATATATATATTCCTTGTAGTGCAAAGTCCAGCCCTGTTGGTGTCAAATCAAACCCTTCCAAGAGGCACCGGGACCGCCTGAATGGGGAGCTGGAGAGCCTGGCCAGCCTGCTCCCGTTTCCGCAGGATGTCGTCTCCAAACTGGACAAGCTAACTGTGCTGAGACTCTGTGTCAGCTACCTCCGGGCCAAGAGCTTCTTCAGCGGTAAGACCTGACAGCGGGGGAGCATGCATCATTCGCCACAGAAATATTTCATTTGCATGAAAGAGACTCTGTGAACAGGTGCAATAACCATCAGTGACAATGCATGAAAGGGCCCTGGATTATTTAAAACACCGTCTATTTTGTTTCTGAGAAACATCGGGCTGTACTGTGTGCTGGGCATCACTGTGCTTTCTCCAGTGAAGTCTATTTCTCGGGTGCAGCTGGGTAAATTTCACTGCATGCGGGCTAACTATTCCCAGCAAAAGGGAATACATCTGTAGTATTTTAATTATATGACTATAGTGTTGCTCGTTAAAGAGCCAATGAGTGAAATTTCTGCTGAGGCAGTACCTTTTTCAGTAGATTGTGACATCCTCCGCATGATTGACTGCAGTACTGAATAGGTCCCTTTTTTCAGTGTGGACCGGCCAAACTTTTAGGCAGAGATGACAGGTAGATGGTACCCTGTCTGCGGTGCTGCCTCTTGTGGGATTATAGACGTAGCTCCCTCTTGCAATTGTCTATTATCCTGCGCTCTAAAGATGATAAATCTGTTTTGAACTCTTTTGTACAGGACTTGGTTTTGCCCAGATAAGTGAAAGTGATGAGTGGTTCCTGTCGTGTTTATTGTTTTATCTGTGCCCCTTAACCCAGCCACTCCCCAGCAGTTTCTCAAAGGTAGTTGTAAAAAGTAATATTTCCTAGCTATTAACTCAGAAAGGGGCACTGGGGGAGCCTGATTCACGAAGCCGACCCGCTCAGTGGGGCCAGGGGAAGCTCTCCAGTAAATAACAGGATGCTATTAGGGTGTGTGAGATCCTGCGGAAAGTGAAATAAAAAATGCGTAATCGTATAATCTCCTCTGAGGAAGTCTGCACTGTGCTGTAACAATGGATACTTTTTTGAAGAAAAATAAACACGTACATGCTTTGTTTTTAGAAACCTTCAAAAGAGACCCAGATATTACACGCAATACTTTGAATTGTTCCTGTCTTAATTCTGTTACGCTGCTCTGTAAAAATGTCGATATCTTAGTAGCTATCAGCGGTTTGGTTGATAATCCACCAAATGCTATGTTACCAAGTGAAGCTGGTAACTGTTAATTAACCTCCCAGTACCTTTTTCCGTGGTAAGAACCGAGGATTTCACTTAAACATTCAAAGCTCGTGTAATCCATGCCTTATCGATGATTTTGCTGTGTACAGGACATTTAGACTAATTGTCAAAATTGTGGCAACACCTGGCATTTTTGGCATTATGATTTAAAAATTATTACACAAATATTGGCGATAATGTCTGTAAACAATCAAAGAATGTTACTAATATCATACATTGGACGATTAAATAGGCAACTGGAGCAACAGTTAAATAAAGTTCTGCAATCTCTAAAAATTGGAAGCATTTCCACAATTTTGGCCACTAGGGTACATTTATTTAACTAGCGGACATTTAATGACGAGACACTGATGTTGCTTTAAAACTTTAAATCAAAATAAATGAAGTGTTGGCCAAAGCAGTGGTTACTGAGTCATTTAGTTCTGCGGAAGTTTAAATGAGATTGAATAACTCAGGCTGAGTGTTAAATGGCAGCAGGATCAGATGAGGCGTGTTTGTCCTGTGGCAGGTGGTCCGTGGCCTTTTCTGGGTAGGTGGGCAGGCGCCCTCCGTAACAGCAAACATTTGCCATGACTGTGCACGTTTTTATCAGCCTGTTTTTCCGTGTCAGGATTGATTTTGGCCTTGACATGAACCCGAAGGGGGTCCATGGACAGAGTGAGAATGACAATTTCCCCTGACCAGCCACTCGTATACCATCATTGTCGTCTTGAGCGAATGTCTCAGCACATCATCTGCACTGCATTGGATTATGGGAAATATGGTTCTCTGCTATGCTGTCATTCCATCCAAGGCTCTGGGATGGATTTTAAGGGCTAATTTAAAGGTGTTAGTGATCTCACACAGAGCATTATGTCATTCATGGACTTGTGTCCTCTACTTGAGCTTCCCTCCTTTTTCCTGTTCCTTTACCATCCTGGGGCGGTTTGCAGCCGCAGTTGTGCAGACATCCGTCCTTCCGCATGCGCTGGAGGACGCTGGGCCCGTCTGCGAGGGCGTCGTGGGTTTGGCTCTCCATTCATGGTTATCACACACCGAAGCAGCTTCTAGGTAACATTTGTTGTTCCTGCACCAGTGGGAGTGTTTGTCTCTGTGGGTCACGACTCATACAGTTACATTTCGGGTTCAAATCCCACAGCTGATCTGAGCGATGTCACCGGTGAGGCCGTGATTTTCCATACCCACTTGTTCTATGCAATCAGGGAATGATCTGGCAACTCCAGTTCACCTTAGCATGTCTTTGGAAATCGGAGAGAACCCCACGACGACTTGGGGAGAACATGCAAGCTTCACACACATAGGAGATGGGAGGGCTAGAACCCTGGTCATCAGGGCTGTGAGGCTATAGTACAAACCACTGTATCACCATGCCACCCCATCTGCTAAGTCATAAATATGTAATATAATAATCAATAATAAATAAATATGCCTTGGCCGGGACTGGCATCCACCCAGGGTGTACCCCAGCCCTATGTTGTCTGGGATAAGTTCCAGGATAAGCAGATAAAAAATGAATGAATGGATAGATAATAAATTAAAAAGGGAAACATACGATGAGCTAAGTGGCTGGAGTGGCTGACGTGTAGCAGCAGTGAGGCGCTGACAGGGATATTGTTCCGCGCTTATTGTCTCTGGGAATGTTTCACCACTACGTTTGTCCTTAAGGTTGCATGAGCTGTGTGGCTTTTTCCTTCTGTCGGGGCTTGTTTTGTTTCGACGGTTGCTGCGTTATGAACATTCCCCACTGTGCCGCTGTTTAGACAGACTCCCGGGGGAGGGGGGCCGTGGGGGCTTGCGTGAGTAATCTGGAATAGTTTTGTTGAACTCTTGACTCTGCAGACACGGGTTGCGAAACACTTAGATAGCTCTCGGCTCAGACCGCAAACCTTGACCTGTGTAGCTGAATACCAGGGATTTGAAGCACTGATGTGACTCTGTAGTACGTGTGTGTGTGTGTGTGTGTGTGTGTGGGGGGGGGGTGTCTCCATGGTCAAAGGGGGCTTGCATGTGAGCAACTCTGAGATCCTGCCTGTGATAATATCTTAATGTTTTGCTTGCACAGATTGTTTAAGCCTGAGGGACTGTTTATTTAAGGCATTAGAATCAGCTGCTCATGGAAGGTTTTCCTGTTGGCGGGGGCTGAGGGCCCCTATACTACAGTAACAAGGCTGCAGAAGAATGCCTGGGTTTCATATCTCAGAGCTTGTGTTTTGGAATATTTTAAAGATTTTATTTAAAAATAAACACTTAAATTGGAGTATTTTCCTTGAATCTTTTCAAAGAAATTTAGGTAAATGTGATGTGTACTCTCATCTTTACAGTCTTAATAAACAGGTCAGCCGAATTACTCATATGAAAAGTGCATAATTAGAAATACTTCCAGCAACTACCTCAGCATGTGCTCTAATGGTGCTTTTCCACTGCCACCAAGAACCAAGCTGTACCCGAGTCCTACCACAAACTGCCCGTTTTCCATTGCAAAGTCAAACCCAGCTGGTTTGGTCACCAGCAGCTGATTGGTTGAAATGCTGAAATGCATGGAGATGCCAGTGTTCTGCACATTGATTATCTAAAGATAAGAGCAGTGGAAAACCAAACTGCGCTGGAACCGCGCTGTAACTACGTATGGCTCAGCTCCTGTATGTCAGTGGAAAAGTGCTTTAAATAGGGGTTTCCTGATTAAAGCGTGTGTATGTCCTATTTTCTTTTAACTCTGTGTTTTATAGGCTTTGTGCAGAGTGGTGGCTGTATGGCTAGGGGTCTGTGCTAGCAATCTGAAGGTTGCTGGTTCAAATCTCATCAATGCCAGGAGTGATCCTACTCCATTGGAAAAACAACCTTACACTGTTCTATTCCACTTGAACTGGTGTGGTGCTGTGGTATCACATGGCTGCACCATATTTTCACAATATCTATATTTATCACGATATTCTAAAATTCATATGTAGAAAACCAGTAAAATATGACAGGTGGTTTTGAATTTTTCTGATCATCATGACCAAATTATTTTACTAATAATCACTAATAATAATAGTGACATGGTATAATAATGAATTATGCCAACAACAGACTCATCCCTTGATGGAATTTCTGTAAAAATTGTGCATTTTAACTGTTAATTATGCAAGAAAACAAGTGTTTAGGCTATATCATAACGACGATATGAATATTCATAATCACAATGCGATATTTTATCACTGTCACCCAGCCCTAATGTATATTAGCTACATATTATGAAGGACAACTGCAATGTAGCTGTAGCAGATCACTGCTTAAAACCAGGCATGAGAAAACAACCAAATGTTCAGGCAGGGAATGTAATAAGAGGCCAGACCCAAAAGCTACAAAGAAATTGATTTGTTCTTGGTCTGTTTTTGTTGTTACTAAATATTTGTGTGAGAACATCCTGAACTGAAGTTGCACTGTGAACAATGTCTAACTAAAAGGGCACAGAGTTATATTTCAGAGAGCATAAATGCTGCGTGTGTTTGTTGTGTTACATTGTCTCGCCTTCATTGGTGCTTCGGGTGTCTAAAATGGCTTTAATGAACATGCTGTTGCTCCATGTGTGCAGTTTGTATCATGCAGGAATGCAAGGAATGCAAACATGTCCTGCTGATGTCATGAGAAATGCATGTTTTGTTTAAAAAAAACAATACTTTTTGTGGCTTGCGCAAGGACATAGCAGTTCGTTTGCTTTCACATGTTCCATTTTGTGTGCTTATAAGACACGCAGAGCTGAGTGCAAAGCGTGGGGGTTAGGGTACAGTCATTTGGGGTTAAAGGCTTTGCTGAAGGAGCCGACAGTGGTGTGGACACTGTGCTGACCATAGATTTGAACTGGTGACTTTCTGACTGCAGAAGTCTCAGATAGAAGTTCAAAGTGTGCCTGATAGTTATGTATTTACAGTCTACATAAAAACATTTGACTTGCAAGAGGAATTTCTCTGCACTGATTTGAAAGTCTGGTCATCTAGTAGCTCACAATGAGGAAATGATGAAATGCGGTTTGCTGGCCAGGGGTTTCGGAGGTAAGTAAGCAATGAGGATCCATGGTAGCCAAAATGGGGGCAGTTTGTGGCCAGAAGAGTTTGGGACACACGTCAAATTTAGTCCAGTTTCATGACACCATGCGTCGTGTTCACAATCACCGTAGAGATGATTTTGAGGAATATCTGCAGTAGATTCTTAAATGGAAAGTCTTATGGTGTCTGCTGGTGTACGTCACTAACCCCCCCCCCCCCGCAAAGTCCAGATTCCTTATTTACACTCCCTGCAACCTTCGGGGCTGTGGAGGTGTTCATAGTTCTGTTATCTTACACAGGTCATAAGCTGTGTTTATACCTGAATTAGAATTAATGCTTGCTTATTTTGTGCTTTACGATGGGACCTCAAACGATTAGGCCGGTTCATACATACTCTGACTTTCCTAACGTTCATCGAACACTTAAAACCTTAGGTGCAGTTGTACTCCTGTTCTCGTATCAGATAGTCCTCCTCTTTAGTGGCTGATAGTGCAGTCAGTTAAGTAGAATTGTATTTTATAAATGGCCAATTAATGAGTTGCAAAGGCGATAATCAGAGCCCTGGCCCCAATCACAGCTGCTTGTCCCCCTGGCGACGCCCATTTTTGGGTAATGAAGTGCCTCCTCCAGGCTCAGCCTGCTCTCTTAGGTGAGAGAACTCTATAGGAAGTGAATAAGCCTGCGTTTCCTGTGCTGGACTATGGCCAAGAATAACAGGATGTATCATTTCTCAGTCAGTCTGATCTAGTGCCTAATATAAGTGCTGTTGCAAATCTGTCACGCTCTTGTCTCTGCCTGTAAGTTCATTTCCAGAGCTTCTGTGAACATGGGGCTTCAGTCAAGGCCATTTTTGTGGTTTTTCTACAAACACTGTGTGATTCAGGTCAAATGGACCCCAGACATTCTCTACGTGATTTGATTAGATGTCATCCTTCTGGCAAAACCGTCATCACATAGTCACTTTCACTTATGTAATACAGTTTAATTTACGTACTGTAGCTGCTCTCTCTCCTGAGTCTTCAGCTAGGTGCTGGCACTGTGTAGATGTTTTTTAAGTCCCTGTAGGTTTTCAAGTGCAGATCTGTCTTTGTTGCCACGTTAAACCTGGTTTGTTTTGTCTGCCTCTGGATCAGCAGTATTTTCGATGACAGATTTGAAGAGCCTTCTTTGGAAGATGATTACGTTTGGAGTTTGGCTCGTGACCACAGCAGCGCTCACATACGTGCTGCACGGTGACCGATCCCCGTCACAGGCTGTGCACCTTGTCTCCTGTGTGCACTGGGCTGTCGCATGAACGTGACCTCTGACCTCTGATAGTGGTGTCAGCTGATGCGGAGGCCGAGTGCGTGATGTTGATGAAACGTTGCGTCGGTCACTTAAATCGCACCTCAGTTGCTTACGTGGGCACCAGTCTTACGTTGTGTCAATGTCTGTGCGCTCCAGTGGTCTTCGGATCCTCGGACGCCAGAGGCCCCAGTCTGCAGGGGGAGGAGCTTCTGGAAGCGGAGCTCCTGCTGAAGGTGCGTGCTGGGGGGTCTGCATGCGGAGATCCCATGTGCGGAAGTGCCATGCCAAGCTCTCTGAGACGGTCATGTTCAGTTTTTGCTTTTAAAAACACCCAGACCTGAAAACATGACCTCATTTAAGAGGCTGTTTCTCCTCTTAAGCTACATTTCAATGACACTGGATTATTTTAAACGTACTTAAAATTGGCATTGTTACTTTAAAATGCATATTCACTTCTACTCTAAATAGAAGTGGCTTTATGTTTGCAGTTATATTTGTTGCTGAACAAATTCTTCACAACCTCCATCAGGTGCTAAATGGTTTCCTGCTGGTGGTCAGCGCCGATGGAATGATCTTCTACGTCTCTCCTTCCATAAAGGACTACCTCGGCTTCCATCAGGTGACTGTTTGCTCTGAAAGCTGACGAACGCATGACGTCCGTTTCCTGCTCGTCTGATTCCATCTCCATCTTGCCGTTTTACATGGGGACAGATTTTCTTAACTTTTGGAAAACCAAAACACTAGTTTTACTTTACCTGGTTTATGTTAGATTAATGGAAAGGGGCGAAGAAACTGTTAATATTTATAACTAAGATATTTGTCATCTGTTGATCGATCTTGATAAACAGCGGTCTCAAAATCACGAACTAGACTGAACTGAATGCTTGTTTTGGACATTTCCTTGATAGCTGCTGGATGCCGCACAGCATTTCCAGTCCTCCACCAGCACTACACCATTATCTACCATTGCGGTTACCCTAAGGTTGGGGTTAGTGTCAGGCAGGCGTCGGCGTCCCGCAGAGGTTAATGGGGGTGGGGAGGGGGGCCGCAGCACATGCAAACCGACTCACACAACAAAATGGCTGTTGCCATGGCTGTCGTGGTGGAAATTCTGTGTCATTTAGGCCTTAACTGAGGAGGAAGGAGCAGCGTCTGTCAAGCAGTGATATCGGTTTATACGTTTTGAATAATGGCAGTTATCAGCTACCATTAAAGCATTACTTTATTTTGTTAAATATGGCCGTGTAATGAATTTGGAACCAAATTACTCCTGGATAGAGTGTTAAACGAGCAAGCTGGGAACATACTATGTTATTTTAGTGGCCTGTGGGAAACTGCTGGAATGTCCTACTTTTGGGAGGGAAATGAATTTCTCTTCCAAAACGAAATACCAACAAAATTTTATTGGATAACGTATCAAATGACCAAATGTCCACCCTACTGGACAGTAATGACCATGGATTTAAGGTAGAAAGGGAACCTCAAAAGATGACAGCCGTGTGCATTTTGGCATATCCGTCCTCCTGTTGATGCAACACCTCTCCCCAATAGTCTGACGTCATCCACCAGAGCGCCTACGAGCTCATCCACACGGAGGACCGGTCCGAGTTCCGGAAGCAGCTCCACTGGGCGTTCAAGCCGCCCCCCAGCCCTCAAGGCAGCCCAGGGGACTCCTGTAAGACCCGACCCCTGAACCATGAGCCAGGTCCAGAATGATACATTACCTATGGATAATATGATAGATAGATAGATAGATAGATAGATAGATAGATAGATATGGGGAGTTCAGGAGGTGCCAAACTTTTACAAAACTTTTCAAAGGAAAATCAAGTTTGTAAATCCTCCTGACTCACTGTTCCCTCCATAGACTGATTTATGGGAGTCACCCCCCCCCCCCGCTGATTTACGGGAAAGACGCAGCATCTCTTTCAGTTCGCTTTCGCTTTTGTGCCATGCCGGCTTCTGCCGTGACCCGCGTTTCACACCATGTTTGCTTTTTTTGTTTTCGCAGCTCTGATTTAATCTCCCTTCCTCTGGTTTCTGCCCAAAATAACATTTCAAAGTAAGAGCTGTATGTGACAGTAACCAACGTTGAGAACGTTTTAATACGTTGTGTGTGGGGAACAGCTTGTTTGCTCTTCGTTTACTAGGCATTTTGCTGGACCTCAGCTGCTAATGCATTACTGACACCTTTGAGTAACCAGGCCCATTGGTGTCTCACCTGTACCTTCTAAGACCTTTAAGATCCTCCAAGGAATCACCGAGAGGGTAGGACCCTGTAAAGGAAAAGTGTGGATGTCTGAGTGTCGTGTGGACAAGCCGCTTCTTCTGCTGGCAACGATCCCACGTGGCCCCACCACACGGGGGTATCTGGAAAGAAAATTCCCTGAGTACTGTGGACAAATATCTCCACAGAGTAGCCTGGGCCTGCTCAGGATCATCATATTCGACACTGAGATCCACTGAGATCCATTGAGATCCACTGAGATCCGGTTCAGTTTGGGAAGGGGCTCCTCTTCTTTTGCCGTGTTACTCTCTCAGGTTGTGGCTGTCCACTCGCTGCCTGAACTTCACAGGGACGTCGATGGTACTTATTAACTCTACAGCGGTGATTAGACCTCTCGATTCTCTCCACCTTGAGATCGAGACTGAGATGAAGCTGTTGTGACAATACGCATTGCGATAACGGATCCTCCATTCATAACTTTATGGTCAGCCCTGTTCAGAATTTTCTTTCATCTGATTAACTCGGGAAGAATGAAGATTTACGACGCTCTAAGATATGAAGCGTATACAATAGTATATGGCGTTCTGATCTTCATCCCCTGGTCTTCAGAAAAGGTTGTGGGTATGCATTTATGAATAAATAGCTAAGGGCTAACGATAACCTGTCTGATTAGCTGCAATGAGTTGAAGTTTATTTTCTATCCTTTGAGTTTATTTTCTAAGTGGTTACTTGACCTGCTTATTAAGAGGGGCCTATTTACTTTTAGAAAGGAAGTGAGTGTGTCAAATCTGTGGCCTGTGATACCCCCAATGTTATTGCAATTTATCTTACACTTTAACAATGCATTATATTTTTAACTGCCTGTCACGTTGCCAGAAGATAGATGTCATACTGGTGATCTGACAGAGAAATGCCGACCCTCTTCCAGCTTGCAATCCAGAAAATCTTCCTCCTGAGAACTCAGCCTTCCTCAAGAGGAATTTCGTGTGCAGGTTGAGATCTTTTCTGGACAACTCCTCCGGATTTCTGGTAAGTCAGAGAGAAATGGGTTTATGCTGAGAGGCAAAAAAGCCTGCGTTGCTAGACAGTGAAGCCCTGGGTGTCTGAGGGAGATGGTCTAGGTGCGGTAGACAGTGAAGCCCTGGGTGTCTGAGGGAGATGGTCTAGGTGCGGTAGACAGTGAAGCCCTGGGTGTCTGAGGGAGATGGTCTAGGTGCGGTCAGGCGATTGCTGCCTTGCCTGCGAATGAGACGTTGATTTCCGTAACTCTGACGGAGAGCGAAGGGTTAAGTATGTCTCTGCGTTACGGCTGAGGGCCGGTCGACTAAAGTTCACGGCAAGGTTTCTTTCGTTTCCCATCCCTCCATGTGGGTTCACGTAAGGGTCACCGGCTGCTTATTTAGAACAGGAAACGATCGTACCGCTAGTTTAACACGCGAGTCGGGGGCCCGCTGGGGCTGCATTGCTCTCACAGTCTGCATACGGAGGCGTTGCCGAGTTCCACCCGCCAGCGTCCGCTTCTCTCGTGCCGTTATTAGCCGTCGTTGCTGGTTAAGCTGAAGCTAAAGGGAGCGTGGTTGGTACGGACAAGCTGCGTCGTCGCGCCGCTGGTGCAGCTGTGGTTTGCAAGGAGCTGTTAGAAGCCGAATTATTACACAAATGTAAAACGGGAAATGAAAACACGAAGTAAAACGGTTGGCGTGTGCACAAGCATTGATTTCCTGGTGAACTTTTGAACTCCATGTGAGTTTTATCATTTTCTTAGCCCCAAGCGAATGGTTCCGTTATTATGGTCATCTGACACCCAATGTCAGTATCATACTCACTATCTACAACTGCCCCATACCAGTATGGACCCCCCCGGGATGGTGTACATTCGCTGCTTGCACAAACTGTGTACACTGTTGTATTGAGCTGTTATCTACGCATTTGTGATCTTCCATTGTGGGTAAAACAAGTCTGGTCATTCTCCTTTAATGACTTGCATCAACAAGGTGTTTTCTCCCACACAGCTGCCTCTGATTGGATGCTTTGTTTGTTTATCCCACCATGCCCTGTAAACTCTAGACATTGTGTGTCTATCCAAAGATGATGGAAAGTTCCTGAGATGCAGGAAGCACCACGTCTGACACCAACATCACTAAGATCACGCGCCATGCTTGTTCTCATATTTAGTGGGACGGCGAATGAACCTTTTAACCTCTGTCATGCTACACATATAGAGTCTCAGCCCCGTAATTCGCTGCTGGGGGTTATAGGTGTTAATGAGCAGGTGTACCTGATGTGGGGCCACTGTTGTTCCATGACTATGTGTCCAAACTGTCACATGTTGCGTGAAATGACAAGTTTGTGTCTCAGAGTTCAGAGACTGACAACAATCAGGCTCGCAATAGGGGCATGGATACCCTGCAGATCCGGGAGGGCCGGGACTTTCCAGGGGCCTTTGAATAAGAAAAATTATAAATAAAATTGTACGGAATGTGACGTGATTTCAGGGAGCCCAGAGTATATAGCTGACGGCACTCATGTGAAATTCAGTTAGAAGACAAACAGTTGACTTTCTGTATCCAAATTGAGCGGATCGGCTTTAACGAGAGGTGAGGAGCGTATGCTGATTACAGGGCTGTAAAATAACGGGGTAAATATCAGAATGCATCTTTATCGCTTCCCGTGTGTCTCCCTGCCCCAGTTTGACTGAAGGATGTTTCTCCGTGGCTCTTCCAGGCCATGAATGTTCAAGGCCGCCTAAAGGTCCTGCACGGGCAGAAGCGCAGGTCCCCAGATGGCTGCTTGGTGCTGCCTCAGCTGGCCCTCTTTGCCTTGGCCACGCCCCTTCAGCCACCCTCCATCGTGGAGATCCGGACGAGGAACTTCCTCTTCAGGACCAAACACAAGCTGGACTTCACCCCCACGGCCTGTGATGCCAGGTCAGATGGCTGGGCTCCTGGGCACACTGGGAAGTTCACTATGTGTGTTTGTGTGTGTGTGTGTGTGTGTGTGTGTGTGTTTTGGGGGATGATAACAGGCTAATACAGTTTGAGATGTAATAGGTAGATAATCTTATGTCCTCCATCCATCCATCCATCCAACCATCCATCCATCCGACCATCCATCCATCCATCCATCCATCCAAAGTACCCTTGGTTATGTTACAGAGCAGTAGTCTAAATAGCTGCAGAGAAGTGTTTTTATAGGATGATTGTTGTTTAGGGGAATAGTCCTCTTTTCAGTTACTCTTATTTATTTGCTTCTCTCTTCATTTTTTTTTACCCCATATTCAGAGGGAAGCTTGTTCTGGGCTACACAGAGGCTGAGCTTTGTGACCGAGGGACAGGTTACCAGTTCATCCACGCGGCAGACATGCTGTACTGCGCTGAGAATCACATTCGCAGTGAGTGCTGGGGTCCCTGCTGACATCGAGCCTCGGGGAGGGTGACAAACTGCACCTGCGTGGTCGATGTGTGACCATATAACCTGACAGAAAGACGCAGATGTCGATGCTGAGACCTACCACGCTTCCAGCCATTCAGGTGACTGTCAGTGGCTGTTGACTGTCTCTTCTGCAGTGATGAAGACCGGAGACAGCGGGATGACCGTCTTCAGGCTGCTCAGCAAGCAGAGCCGATGGTTGTGGGTCCAGGCCAACGCCCGGCTGATCTACAAGAACGGCAAACCCGACTACATCATTGCTTCTCAGAAGGTCCTCACGTAGGTTCATGTTTGGTCTCGCACCTGCAGCGACAATCATGCTGTTTAAATGTTAGCTGAGGTAGGTAGGTGGGTAGGTAAGGAGCGTGCACTGATCACAGCGTGTAGGGAGCGTGCACTGATCACAGCGCGTAAGGAGCGTGCACTGATCACAGCGCGTAGGGAGCGTGCACTGATCACAGCGCGTAGGGAGCGTGCACTGATCACAGCGCGTAGGGAGCGTGCACTGATCACAGCGCGTAGGGAGCATGCACTGATTACAGCGCGTAAGGAGCGTGCACTGATCACAGCGCGTAAGGAGCGTGCACTGATTACAGCGCGTAAAGAGCGTGCACTGATCACAGCGCGTAGGGAGCGTGCACTGATCACAGCGCGTAAGGAGCGTGCACTGATTACAGCACGTTGCCACATTCACCACACAACAAACCACCTCAGGGATGAGAACCTGAGTGCAGCCTTGCGGCGGGCGATACCTCGGCACCACACCAGTCCGAATGGACCAGTGTCAGTTTTTTCCAGTGTCTGGAGTGCCAGTCCTGCAACTAACCGCCAAGTTTTTTTTCCCTTCATGTTGCAATGTTAGTGAAATAGGGAATATCTCTCTCCTGTATTTGGGGATCCATATTAAGCAAACGTTTTCTTATTTTTAATATTTTTCCATCATGTTGTTGGTCTTCAGGGATGAAGAGGGGGAGGACAACCTCAGAAAACGCAATCTCAGGCTGCCGTTTCACTTCGCCACGGGAGAGGCGCTCCTGTATGACTCCGGCTTCCTCAGGTCCCTCAGTGATGCCGGCCTGGGAGGCGGAGTCCCTTCTGGGCAGGGGTCCCTGGACCCCGACTCCCTCCTGGGTGCTATGCTGAAGCAGGATGACTCCATCTATGTCTGCCTTCCAGGGCAGGAGCAGATCTCCCTCCAATCTGGCGAGCTCCCCAACACTGCTGGGGACGCGGGCTCCATATTTCACAGTGACTGGAACCAGAACCATTTGATATTTCCGGAAAGTATTGTCACAGAGCCGGATAGCCGATCAGAAGAAGATAAAAACGGCGACCTGTGGACTTTGATGAGCAGCTTGGGCGTGTGCAGCGAGGACCTCGAGCTCCTCCAGCAGGACGGGACCTTCTTCAGAGAGGACACGCCTGGAAACGGCGATATCGCAGATGTAGCCGATGAGATTCTGGCGTACGTAGGGGAATCCCTCACGAGCCAGTCTGACTGTGTGCTCGCCGGCGATTCTGGGATGGCAGCGTGTTTAACGCAGTGCCAGAAACCTCACAGTCTTCTGTGCCAGAGCCGTCAGGAGCAACCTCCGGATCCGCCGCGGTGCCCACCGGCACCCGACCGGCAGGACGTGTCCCTGGAAACATGGACACGAGGAAGGGCGGCGGAGCAGCAGAATCCGCATGTGTGTAAGCAACCGCAACTTTTAATGCATCGGGATGATCTCCTGGCCGACTGTTCACATCAGCGGCCACATCACCGGTTGAGCCACGTGCAGGTCAGCGAGGACCCGCCCTCTTCTGTCGCCATGGACGCTATGAATGGACACCCTTCCTCATTCAAGTTGGATCAGCCCCACCTGCAGATGCTGCCCCCCCCATTATATGGATGCTTCATTGTGGAGGGGCCACCCCCAGAGCTCCACGACCAGGACGGGCCGGTCTCGGACCCCGACGGCCTGTTCTCAGCCCGGCTGCCCCAATTCCCGGTGGTTCTGGAGGACCACTTCCCTGCACTGGACCTGGAGGAGCTGCTGGGAATCCCTGAGCTGGGAGGAGTGGGCGGTGAAGCGTGCGTCACTGTCAACCACCCGCCCGTGTCTCAGTGTGTGTCTGTAGCTGAGCTGCCTGGCCTGGGGGAGAGTCCCGTGCCCCCGCAGGCCCACTTCCAGGTACAAGGGGGGGTGCAAATGTGGATTAATACAGTATGCAGATCTGTCCAAAAGCTGCTACACTATGCTAGTTATCATTGCAGTATTATTAGCGTGATGATGGGGGGCCGTGTGTGTATATTATTAATGGGGTGTATTCAAACTGCACATTTCTGATGAGCGGAGTTCTTAGAAAACCATTTAAGACAGCAATTACTTAGGTTAAAATGCTTCTTCTGGAAATTTTGCCTGACACAGGAGTGTCTATGGAGTGTATCTATGGAGTGTGTGTATGGAGTGTGTCTACGGATTGTGTGTATGGAGTGTATCTATGGAGTGTATCTATGGAGTGTATCTATGGAGTGTGTGTATGGAGTGTGTCTACGGATTGTGTGTATGGAGTGTATCTATGGAGTGTATCTATGGAGTGTATCTATGGAGTGTGTGTATGGAGTGTGTCTACGGATT